CCGTCTATGCCATGTCAAAGCCATACTGTAACCATGGTGCCAGCATTACTGTAACGTGATAAAAACACGCTATAGCTGATGCAGGCATACTGTAACATGGTGGCAGCATACTGTAACGTGATATTATTATATTAACCACCACTATGCATGATTGCACCCATCTGTAATAACCCATGGTGCAGGGCATACTGTAACAATAAGTGGCTAACATCACCCCTTGCTGCTAGCATGATGCAGTATGACTGTAGCACGGGCTGCCCAGCATACTGTAACATGTGTTAGGTGATATAACATACTTGCTAACATTGATACAGCTATGCTGTTAGCCATCCCCAAGATGCAGTATACTGTACACGGTCCTGCAGCATACTGTAACAACTGATGTAGCGTGCATGATAAACATTACCTGTAACATGTACTTCCACTGCAGCTGCCGTGCAGGGTCAAGCGGAACTGTAATTGATTCAGGGTCACGATATTCACAACATTAATTATCATCGTAATCGTTAATTATCATCGTAATCGTAATTATCGTCATTCACCACCGATCGTCGTTCGTCTTTCGTCGTATTCTCCATCCACCGCGAGCTGTAACCGCGCGCATCGTCGTCGCGGCGGCCATAGTCTGCTCCGCAGGATCAAGCGATTCGTTCGAGGCGCAGGTTGGGCCCGACGCTTGAACAACACTGCAGTGCTGCTGCAGCCAGCTGATTCCCCCGTGAGATGGTGTCTCCGCTCGACGAACCGATCGGGAGATCAGCATAGCCTCGACTACAGTCTGCGGACGACGTACCGCCCCTGCCTGTTGGAGACGAACCGGTTATTATTAATGGACTGAGGGGGACATTGGATGGGGGTTAGTCCGTAATGCAGTACAGTTGCGGAGCCTAGGACTGGGTTAGGACTGTGACTGATGGGACAGTGGATGAGGTTCTATAAGGACTGCAGTACTGGGAGCTAGACTGGTTTAGGACTGGGTGGGACATGGATTGAGGTATATAATGGACTGAGTTACTGGGACCTTTGATGGGGTTATATAATGGACTGAGTTACTGGGACCTAGGACTGGGTTAGGACTGGGTGGGACCTTTGATGGGGTTAGGTAATGGACTGAGTGGGAGCTAGGACTGGGTTAGGACTGGGTGGGACAGTGGATGAGGTTATATAATGGACTGAGTTACTGGGACCTAGGACTGGGACCTTTGATGGTGGTAAATAATGGACTGAGTGGGAGCTAAGACTGGGTTAGGACTGAGTGGGACAGTGGATGAGGTTATATAATGGACTGAGTACTGGGAGCTAGGACTGGGTTAGGGACTGGGTGGGACAGATGGATGAGGTTATATAAGGACTGAGTTACTGGAGCCTAGGACTGGGTTAGCGACTGGGTTGGGCCGTGGATGAGGTTCTATAATGGACTGGCGTTAACTGGGAGCTAGACTGGGGTAGACTGGGTGGGAGTTGCGATGGCGGTTATATAATGGACTGAGTGCGAGAGCTAGGACTGGGGTTAGGACTGGGTGGGACACGTGGATGAGGTGTTATATAATGGACTGAGTGCGAGCTAGGACTGGGTTAGGACTGGTGGCGACAGTGAATGAGGTTGTATAAATGCGACTTGAGTTTATCTGGGAGCTAGGACCTTGGTTAGAACTGGTGCGGACAGTGGATGAGGTTTATATAATGGACTGAGGTGGGCAAGCTAGGACTTGGGTTAGGACCTGGGTGCGACATGTGGATGTTAGGTTGTATAATGGACTAGTTACTGGGAGCTTAGGACTGGGTTAGACTGGGCTTGGGACAGTGGGATGAGGTTATATAATGGACTGAGTGGGAGCTAGGACTGGGTTAGGACTGGGTGGGACAGTGGATGAGGTTATATAATGGACTGAGTGGGAGCTAGGACTGGGTTAGGACTGGGTGGACCTTTGCATGGGTGGTGAATAATGCCGACTGCTGCACGGTATATTGAGCTCAGTAGGACCTTTGCCTGTGTTAGATAATGGACTGGCTGGCTGGGTTGGACTGGGTAGGACGTGAGACTGGTTAAGACGTAAAGACTGGGTAGGATCTTGGACTGGGTAGGATCTTGGACCGGGTAGGATCTTGGACTGGGTTAAATAATGGACTGGTTAGCACCTTGCACAGGGTCGTGTTATTTGGTAATTATAACGTCATATATATATAACATCGGGTTTCTGCCTTGTGTAGGTATTGGTTCACTACTGTTCATTGCTCACGCGCGAGTGTTGCCCAACCAGGAGGTGAAGTGTAGGCTGTACGGAGCGTGCGCCGTCGACTCTGTCACCCTCAACGGCATCGACCAACCGCCTCTGACAGACGTGAGTACGCTGGCGCCATCTAATGCACGGAATCGTTAGCAAAATGTGCATGTCGGGAGTGAATGAAATCGATTTTATTTTATTTTATTCATGTCTTGTCGTATCGATGCCATCAAATAAAAGAAAGTTCGATTGCACATCTCGCTATTATGTCGTGGCGCCATCTGTATCGAAAGTATATGTAAAATTTTGTGCAGGCTAGTCGTGAAAGTAATTATAAAAAAAACTATTGTGGGTAAATTGCCAAATTGCAATTTTTTTTTCCCCACTGCAATCCGCAGTGTTGATCTATCGATTTGATCCACTTCTCTCCCCGTCTTCGTTATAGTCCCTAGGACTTTTGAAGACTAATATTTATGAGGTTATGAGGGGGGGACAAATCACACATATCATGAATTTTAAGCAAGACTTTGCACTCGATGCGAATAGCTACGTCACCTTTATTATGAAAATCGTGAACCTATGAAATTTTCGAAAAAACCTATGAAAGCGTTAATATTATAAAATCATGAATCAAGAGCCGATATATATATCAGCGACTCGTATATATCGCTCTTATATTTTCAGCTCAGGTATCATTATCATTGTCATTATCAGATGTTAACGAGAGATGTATTTCTATCTTCTTTCGTCGTTTCACGCACCAGGAGGGTCACTTGTATTAGTAGCTCTGGTATCGTTATCATCATCAGATCTTGACGCATTTCTCTCTTCCTTCCTTCGTTTCACGCTTACCAGGAGGGCCACTTTGTGATGTCCTTCTGTCCGTTCAAAGACGGCAGGAACGAACTCGTAATAAACACCATTCCCTGCCGCTGCTCCCATGCCAAACTACTCGTCTGCGCTTACAAGGCCCGGCTCACGCCGTAGCGCCACCAGGGTGCGCCGCCGGAGGCCGCGGACGAGCGATGAACCTCCTCCGGGGGATCAGACGCAGGGAGAGAAGCCGCGACGTCGACGCCCTGCACGTTGCCATGACGACGGAGCATCCTCGCGCGTCGTCCGTCGGGGCGTTGCCGTGACGACGGAGCGTCCTCG